CGAGGCATCATGAATCCCGATTCTCCAGCGAGCGCGAATCCAGTGTCTGCAGACTGTGAGTTATATACCCTCACGGCTCGTATAATCGGCTGACGTATCTAGTTGTTGCAACGGCCTTCTTCACGGCAAATCTCATCGGAATTCTTTTTGCGCGTTCGCTGCACTACCAGTTCTACTCATGGTATGCTCAGCAGCTGCCTTTTCTCGCGTGGAGAACAAAATATCCGACTGTTCTCAAGTTGGTTCCTCGTCCATTTTGCAATCTCGAAACTCATGCACTCGTCAGGATCTCCATCTTAACGGCCATCGAATACGCGTGGAATGTTTTTCCTTCGACGGTTGTCTCGTCTTCGGTCCTTCTTGTTGCAAACATCCTGCTTGTTGGAGGCATTTGGACCGGTTACGCCAGCGGAAAACGATGAGTTATTTCAAGAGATACATGTCGCTTATACCCAAGTCTAAAATGCAAATGCTATCGTCACTCCGAGCCCATTCCCAGCACAAACGTGCTTCTTCCACCGCGGGGAAGGACCAGGACTTTTTCAGCCCCGTGAACTTGATACGTCTCGGTACTTGGAATAGCCATGGAACCCATTGTTACTTCTCCAGCGAGAGGTAGAGCCGTAACGGTAACCTTGGGCAGCACTAGCTCGCCGTGATGCAGAGCAATGAGCGTAATCGGTACCGAGTACGTCCCATCGTCCTGCGAGAAGGCTCAATATTTCGCTGTATTAGAAAGAAAAGCATACCATCGCGGCGAAATCACCGCGTTTGCGACCGCTAACCAACCAGTCGCGTACCATTTCTTCCACGTCGAAACGCATCATATATGAACGTTGCTTGTCGTTGACGCTGGAGCCCCAGTGGAACGAGGTATGAATGGTGAGCGTCGCGGGAATGGGCTGCCCAGCGTAGAGGGAAGGTGTAGTGTGCTCTGAGAGCGCAGACTTTGGCGGTATGAGACGAATGCCTGCTCCTGCGACGATCTAGTGCGTGTTAAAATACTAATAATCGATGAAGAATCAACGAAACTCACGTTCATAAAAGGAACGTCCACGGGTATCTTGATTTCTCGCCATTTTCCTACAGGGGGGTGAGGATGCTTGTGTTCGCGCAAGAGCTAGTCGATCTTCATGAGATGAAAGAACAAAAATGCTGTGGCCCCAACCTTGATAACTTGTCGTAGAGGGTCATCCGCGTGCGATAGCTCGCCGATTGTTTCGGGAACCATAAGTTCTCCAGAAACACCGTACAAGTCAACCCAGGTGCTATCCTGCTCAAGCGCTTCAACAAGTCGATTGACGAGTTCGACTCGCTCGGCCAGCAAGGAAGCTGAGTTGCTCAATACTCGTTCCACAGTCGATTCAATGAGGGTCTCCACTTCTATGAATGTTTCAGCATCACAAGTTCAACAAGGGTAAAAAGAAAAATCAACCTTCGCGCAACATCCTGTAACTTATCCTGAACTTGACAGATTCTCGTACTGAGCAATAATTCAGTTCGTTTCGTTTAGCCATGACTTGAACAGACTAACCCGGGCCATTAGCTGACTCTGTGAAGAACAAGAAGTTTGCGGGCTGAGCAGGGGTCACCGTCTAGAGAAAGTCAACATGAAATGGAGCGGACAGTGAGTGGCGACACGAACAACAACACCACGCGACTGAGGGGAGCAGGCGACCACTTTCACTCCGTCCAAGCCGCCTGCTGGAAGTTGCAACTGGGCATCAGATATGCGAACATGCTGATGACTCGTAGTAGACACGGTGAACTTGGAGAAAAGTCTAAAAACGCGTCAAGTTCTGAGAAGCCCGAAAACAAGAACTTACCGGTCTCCCCGAAAGAAATCTTGCACGTTCACAGAGACAGGGAGCGTTGTTGCGACAACGCGGGAAAGATGCAGCGCCCTAGTAATACTGGGTTCTGCTTCGGTTACATATGCGACCTCTACATCAACTCTCTGTGAACGACGTCAGCCACAGCGGAAGAACACCACCTAGCACCGACCATCGCATGGAATGCTGAAGCATCAGAATACGGAAGCAGAAGTTCCAAATGACACCCTTCTGCGAGATTGGATAGGGGAATGCAAGAGGGGTCTGCTTGAAAGGATTCGCCGTCCTTGTGGGCTGGGCACCATTATGATTCCGCGGAACCAAAAACAACAAAACACACCATTGGTAACGTGTTGATATCGGAACGTGACAGACGGAGCCCGAAACTTAATGGACCCTTTCGCGACGTGATTTCGCCCAGTTGCAATGGCAACTAGGAGCATGGGCGGCCGTCCGAGTTCGACTGACGGCCGTTCAATGCGCGGTCAACCGTGGAAGGCCTGCTTACTGAGATTGGGCTGATGAAGACGAACGTCCATAGCCAATAGATCTCGGGGGATGCGAACCAACGAGAAATTACTTCGGGCGTTGGGTACCTTGTTCGTTCCAATTTTTCTATGCGTCCATTGGAATATCACGTGGGCCATGTGGGCTTCGGTGCTCTCCAGGACGTACGTTCCGGCGGACGAGGTCTGAACGACATCAGGAGAAGTCTTGCGAATGAGGGCGGGGACAAACTGGACAGAAAAGCGTCACTTCGCTTTTGCCAGGAGGTATTGAATCGACAGGCGTAGAGAATCTTAACCGTTCGGAATCCCGCCCGGACAATATTGCAACAACTTCGTCAAGGGGAATATCCTGGGCAGAATTCAGGAGGGACGACGGAAAGATTAAGATCGTTACACAGGGTAAACGGTTGTGAATGAGAACGTTCAAGAACGAGCCATCTTTGTCGCCGGCGGATTTTGCGGTAGCATCAGCGCGTATCGACATCGCCGGGTGGTCGGGATATAGTAGGTCTATGAGAGGAGTAGTCAAGCGGCGACAATTTTTAGTGAGGAAGTTACCCGAGTCAAGCTCACTCGCAGAAGTTTTCATGGCTTGGACCAGTTTGGAAATGTACTCCACACTGTCTTCCTTGTGCATGAGCACGTCAAGTCCTGCGGTCTCAACATAAGTTTTGAGGAAGGAGAGAAGAACGTGTATCCATTCTCGATCGTTCGACTTGTTTAGTTCTGCATGCGTGTCCAGGGCTAATGACAGCATCAAGGATTCGAGAGAAGTCCATTGGTGAGGAGAATAGTGGGCCGGAAGGGACGTGTAGGTTGTTAATGCTTCGGCAAGCCTTGCTCGATGGCTGAGCGGGGGTTGTCAGCCAAGAGGAAACAGCGACAAGGGTAGACTATACACGTCAAGAGCAGCAAGGCTCCCATGCAACTTGAGGGCAAATTTCCGTCGACCCGCTTTGGCGTACATGTCGATGGCGCGGTTGGTCATAACAACATAGCTCTCGTAGAAGGCATCTCTGCTGTTGATTGCTTCGCTGACCTCCTTGCTGGATAATGGCTTGTCTGGGGCGAACGCGCCGGAGGAAGGCGGTTGCGTGGTGCTACAGAAAGGAGGCCGTACGGGCAGGTGGCCAACTCTGACGCCGATAATATCAAGCTAAACAGAATAAGGCAAAGATTTGGAACTAAGCAACAAACAACGAACTTGGATGCGGGCCAATTCTAGCAGCTCCCCTTTGCTGGCGTTGAAGGCATTGAGTTTGGGGCCCTGGAGATCTGAATTCGCAGCCCATATATCACACTGATCCACTACACTAAGTGCAGAACAATGTGTCCATGATTCGATGAAGAACTGAGGTAGGGATTCCTTGACAAATGGTCAGGCTCGGCATCCCACACCACAGGAAATTCTTCCCAACCTCGATTTCACGTAGCCGTCGACCAAATGCTCCGAGAAACGCGGCAGCTTTTTTCCCAACTTCGTTGATTCGCCCCATACTTGCGAGTATCTCACATTGACGGGCAAGCAGATATATTCGGAAATCGAAAACGGAGATGGTGTTGGCGAGAATAAGATCGCGATATGGCTTCTTTGATATCGACAGTAATGGAGCCGAGTCGTCGTTGGTAGCGGGCGTGATGAGTGTACCGAACCAAGAGAGGTTTCTTTCCTTCAGCACTTGATAGAAAGACGCCTCCAGTTCATCGTATTGCACTAGGGCATCATCGAAGAGATTGACGCCGTGGAACGAACCCGCCAAGCTTTCCTAGGATATAATGAGTGTGCAGCACCACATACGGGAGAAACACACTTTGAGGACGAAGAACGTGCAAAAGTTCCAGCCCGGCATTTGGCGTTGACTCTCTGACCGCTTGACCTCTTCTTCCCTTTGGGTCACCGCCGAATCGAACGAGGACAATATCCCGTCCTTGAGTTTGTTCAGAAACTCGGCCCACACGGCCGGATTGGTGTAGCCGGAGGTCCACGATAGCTGGACGCATCTATAGAGGGTCAGGTCGGAACCGCAGAACATGGACCGCAGCTGACCTGTCCCGTTTGTCCGAGTTGAAGTCCGACTTGAGCTTGTCCAGCACAGAACCCTTGAGTTGGAAGAAGTTTCCGCTCGGGGTGCGCGCGTCGGGTCGGACTACGTGCAGGACGAGCCATTCTTGGTTCTTTTTGGGCGAGACGATCGTGTGCCAGTCCTTGACCTGGCGCTTGATAGTGTTCTTGTAGCCCTCCAGGTCCGAGTCCTAATGGGCTTAGTGTGCAGCTGCGAGAGAGAAACGGCGGACATGCATCGCAAGTGACGATGTAGATGTTGAGGAATGGCTTCTCCAGTAACGTGGCCGGGATTTGGGACGTGTGCTCGTCGCGCAGCGACTCGAGCGGAACGAGGGCGATATTAAGCTCTTGGATAGTTCGTATTGAGGGTCGGGACGCGGATTTCCAGTGGATGTTGCGGAGGGGAAGTTGGGCCAGCAGAGCGGTGTGGACCTGGTCCCAGTGCGCAGACGCCAGATACGTCTGAACTCCTGCATACGAGACGAGCACCCGTTGCGGCGGAGCCATATCGGACAGTGGCGGTGCAGGGGATCAAATGTTTAGTAAGAGTAGGCACTGCCAAATAGCATAAGGTGAAAGAAGAAAAAAAAAAATCGACGACGGTGCGATTCGAACACACGCGTGCAAAGCACATCCGCTCACTGAGATTATTTAGCAGGCGAACACCTTAACCACTCGGTCACGTCGTGGACATAATCTCCAGCTCCCAAGTGGTGAAAAAATCATCCAAAACGAAGCATTCGTTCGCGAGGTATGGTCTAGGTGATTGCAGATCAATTTGTGATTGATTTGATCTTATAGACTGATTTGATCTCATAGATTATTTGATCTCATAGATTGATCTTGCTCACTCTGACCATGAAGACATCGACATTCCCCGATATCAGTCTGAAAAAGGATGTTGAATGCAAGGTGCTTCTGGATAACCAGATTCTCCTCATCGACGTGTGTCTGCCTCACTCCTCCTCCCAAGCTGATACTAACAACGCAGAACATCTTGTCCGCGGCAGAATGCAAAGCTTTCCTCAAACATATCGACTCCCTTCCCCTCGAGCTTACTCCACCCAAGAAACGCGGAGAGGCAGAGCGACACAATTGTCCGTCTCGAAGCTGCTTGGCGCAAGACATCCTTTGACACACTGGCTAGATAGAATCTCGACAACTTCCAAAGACTTTGCAGATAGGCTGTACGCCGTGCTGTCCCCCCATCTACCTCTGTTCCTTCCTATGAAAGGATCCAAGGGTCCAGCTCGTTCCGCGTCTTCATTGAACTCCAATATCAGAATGTACCGCTACACGACCTCGCAATTCTTTGGGTTTGTGTTCCAAACTTGTGTAATCCACCTCACTCTTCGCGGTAGTCCACACTACGACGACGACTGCCGCGATTCCTTGACCGGGGCCAAGTCAGAATGGACGCTACTGATCTATCTCACTGGATACGAAGATGGAGTCGAGGGCGGCGAGGTGCTTCTTTTGCTTCGCGATTGACCATTGGTTTACCAAAGTGCAGACCCTATTCTACCACAACAACAAAGCCCGAGAACCCGTAAAGGCTCCATTAACACGAGGGACTGCTTTGTTGCATCGGTGCGTGTCCACCTATCCTTGCATCCTTTCTCAAGTCACCGCAGGCACGGTCGAGAATGCATGCTTCACGAAGGTTCTCCGGTACTCAAGGGCGTGAAATACGTTCTTCGTTCCGATATCATGTTTCAGTAGCAGTGATGAACTCTTTCATGTATTCGACTACCGCGTCCGTCTGTTCCTCCGTCACTGCATTGTAGAGGGAAATCCGAATACCTCCGACGGACCTGTATGCATAGTGAGCGAATGGTGTAATGGGGACCTGCGACCATACCTGTGGCCCTTAATGGCCTGCATGCCTTTTGCCTCGGCCCCCGCAATGAACTTGGCCTCGTCACGCACAACGTCGAACACGACATTCATCAAGCTACGCGATCCCTCCTTGACCTTGGCTGTGAATACGCCTTTTGTTTCGCCGTCCTGGATGACGGCGTACAGCTTGTCCGCCTTGCGTTTGTTGAGTGCCTCGAAATACTGAACACCACCCAGCTCCTTCATCCGACGCAGGACGAGTCCCGAGATGTAGATCGGGAGGACAGACGGTGTATTGTACACACTGGCGTTGTCTGCGAGGGTTTTGTAGGCCATGGTGATTGGAACCGGGGCAGCGCCGAGCTTGGCTGCTGCATCGACGTCAACCAGACAGTCTTTACGGACGATAAGTATGGTGAGACCGGCAGGTCCGATGTTCTTCTGTGCGCCAGCGTAGATGACTGCGTGATCTGCCAGGCGCGGGATAGGTCGCGACATGAACGACGAAGAGTAGTCGGCCACGAGCGGAACAAGCGCGTCCTGGGGCAGCAGATGGAACGGGAAAGATGCAGGCGACGACGGATCGCTCGAGAACTGGACACCATCGACCGTCTCGTTTTCGCAGTAGAAAATCAGTGCTGGGTTGGGCGAGAATGTATACGCATTATGCGGCGGGATGTTGTCGAACGATTTTGCGTCCTTGGCATATGGCCGCGCGTCGACGGCGACATTCACCCTTCCGCCACCCAAGCGACGAGCCTCTTCTGTTGCTTTTCTGCTCCACGACCCAGTGATAACATAGTCCAAAACGCGGTCTTCGTTCGCGAGATCTGGATGTAACAGACGGTGTCGAGCGAGTAGATTGAGGACGATCGCAGAGAATTGGCCGGTGCCACCGCCCTGGGTGAAGAGAATGCTGTGGGTTGGGGGCACATCGAGCTGGGTGCGAATGAGGTTCTCGACTTGGGCAAGGAATGCAGTAAACTCTTTGGAGCGGTGAGAGATCTCGGCGATGCCGATGCCAGTCCCGTTAAAGTCGAGGAGGCCGCGTGCGGCCTCGTGCAAGACGGACTCTGGGAGAGCCGATGGACCAGCACCAAAGTTGATGACTCGAGACATGGTGGTGGTGGAGTACACGAGTCTATTTCATTTGGGTTACTACTAGCTGGCGAGACATGGATGCAGTATATGTGTATGTACGGTATGCAGAACATCAGCAGTTAGCTGGAAACAACACTAGGTATAAAAAGCAAAAGAGACGAAGCCGAATCATGGAGATGAGCGAATACATCGAGCAGGAGATAGATAGCGATAATTCGAGGATGCGGCATTATAATGTCAGACATTATGCGAGGTCGAGGGTAGTCAGCGGGGGTGCATTAGGCCGTGCATGGAGATTGCAAGAAAACACGGGCATGAGATGGTCGAAGTGGACGCGACAGGGATTAATCTGCGAAACGGGTGTACGGGGGTCGTGGGGCGAGAGGGTTGGAGCGGAGGGACGTCTTTCGACGACGAATGGGACCAGACAAAGGCTCTGGCTGGTCGACCACCAGTTGGGAGAGGTCGGCAATGTCGGCGACATTGAGAGGATCTGGGGCAACGTCCATGGCGGCAATCCACGGGAGCTGGTCGAAAGGATGTGGTTCTGCGACCCATGTCGGGCAGTCTGTTTGGGCACAGTGCCTTCGACGAGCAGCGTGGCGTCGTCGTGGGGTGGATGCAAGAGGCTTGTGCAGGCTGGTCCAGCGCGTGAGATGCCATTGGAGGCGGGAAACAAGGACATACGACGCGACGACGCGGTCTTATATGGAGTGAAGTCATCTGTGGGGCCGTTAACGACAGCGCGCGTAATGCAGTGGACAACTGACGAGGGGCATATCATAAATAGCAGCGGCAGATGGTTGGCAGAGAGGCATCGGAGGGAGAGTACAATACAGGTGGAGGTCGTGAGGCGTTTATATCATGGTGGTCGGGAGAAAACTCATTGTGGTTACCTAAGCGTGACTCTACCCCACTCCCACCCCAAGTCAGAACGCACCATTGTCTCGATCTACTTCACAATTCACACCAAGAGTCAGAGAGAAAAACAAGATACAGTTATTTTGAGTGCGACAAACCAAATGCAGATGTAAGATAGCAAAAAAACACGACTCTAGTCAATCTCTTCCATGGCCGACGTCGATGCCGCGTCCAATGCAGGCATGTCCTCCTCAGCAGCCGGTGCAGCCTCCTCCTCCTCCTCGTCCACATCAAGACCGAGTCTATTTGACGCTGTCAGTAACGTCAATGGCCCAAGAACAATAGGACTCACGCAATCATGCGGTGGATACGTTTCGCGAATGATGTCGGCTCGTCCAGAGCAAATCCGGACGTGAGCAGAGCCGTCTCGAACAGCAGGTACGTCAAATCCCGCACAGACTTGTCGCCCTTGTCCTCCGCAACCTTGCGCTTCAGTTCCTTGACGATCGGGTTGCTGGGGTTCAGCTCCAGCGTCTTCTTGGAGGCCATGTACGACGACATGGACGAGTCCCGCAGAGCCTGCGCCTTCATGATACGCTCCATGTTGGACGACCACCCGAATTGCCCAGTGACGAGCACACAGGGAGAGTCGGTGATGCGGTTCGAGACGATGACCTTCTCCACCTTGTCGCCAAGGGCGTCCTTGACGGTAGTGCAGAGGTCCGTGTAAGCAGCAACCTCGGCCTCGCGCGCCTGCTTCTCCTCCTCCGTCTCCTCGAGCTCCAGACCCTCCTTCGACACGCAGACGAGCTTCTTGTTCTCAAACTCCTTGAGCTGGGTGATAGCGTACTCGTCAATCGGGTCGACAAGCAGGAGCACCTCGAAGCCCTTTCTTCTTCAAGACCTCGAGGAACGGTGAGTCGCGAGTCGCCGCGAGGGATTCGCCAGTGAGATAGTAGATGGATTTTTGAATCTCGGGCATACGCGTGATGTAGTCTGCGTGTACTCGTTAATAAGCAGCAAACGGGAGAAGAGGACGGCGTACCCTTGAGAGACGTCTGCTCCTCAGTGGCCTTGGTCGAGAAGAAGCGCAGGAACTCGGCGAGCTTGCTGCGGTTCTGAGCATCCTCGTGGATACCAAGTTTGAGGTTCTTGCCAAAGGCCTCGTAGAACTTGGTAAAGTTGTCCTTGTCCTCGGCGATCTCGCTCAGGACCTCCATGCACTTCTTTACGATGTTCTTGCGAATGACCTTGAGGATCTTGTTCTGCTGCAACGTCTCTCGGGAGATGTTGAGCGGCAAGTCCTCAGAGTCGACGATGCCCTTGACAAAGTTGAGGTACTCGGGGATGAGGTCCTCGCAGTCGTCCATGATGAACACGCGGCGAACGTAGAGCTTGATGTTGTTGCGCTTCTTCTTGGACTCGAACAAGTCGAAGGGAGCGCTGGGAAGAATATGAGCGGCGATCGATAAATGGTAGAGAAACGCACCGTTTAGGGATGAAGAGGATGGCCTTGAACTCGAGCTGACCCTCGACAGAGAAGTGCTTGACTGCGAGATGGTCCTCCCAGTCGTTGGTCAAGCTCTTATAGAAGGAACCGTACTCCTCCGGCGTGATGTCAGACGGGTTGCGCGTCCAAATAGGCTTTGTCTTGTTGAGCTCCTCCGTCGTGGTCTCCTGCTCCTTGATCTTCTTGGTCTTCTTGTCCTTGGGGGCGTCGTCCTCGTCCTCGACTTCCTCGATCTTGGGCTTGTCGGCATCAGCCTCCTCGTCGTCCTCGACTTCCTGCAGAACGATGAGAGACGATATGGTCGACAAACTTATCACAAACCTTCTCAACCTCCTTCGTGACAGCGAGCTTGATGGGATACGAGATGAACTCGGAGTG